TACTACTATTCATGTGATCACTGATTAGCCAATCAGTGATTACATGATAGGGACCTCACATAGAGGTTCCATACAGCGATCAGAGATCCGGGCATTGGATCGCGGTGCCACGCGCTCCCAGGGAGCGCGCACAGTCCAAAATGGTGGGCGTCGTTTATGAACGGCAACCTGCCCCTGCACTGCCATCAGTCACTGACACAGGGGAGCCGGAGCTGTGGGATCACATGACCAGAACAAAGCAGCCTAAATATAGGTAAGTGTGAAGACATTTTGTACACAGGTTAGGCAGGATAGGTAGCAGGAGGGGGAAGGGAACATTTTAAGCATAGTTAGGGCTCGTTCACACTTGACTTTATTTCTAACTCTTGCCAAACGCCCCTATAGTGTTTGACAGACGTCAGACAGGCATTTGGGAAGCATTTTTGACGCTCCTCAAATGCTCCCCAAGCACCCCCATGTGCAGTTTTGAGGAGGTTGATAGGCATTTGCCAAGAGTTAAAACCGCACCACAAACGCCTATAATGAAGTTTATTTATTTCAGGTACTTCTATAGCGCCGTCAATTTACGCAGCGCTTTACATATATATATTGTACATTCACATCAGTCCCTAACCCTCAAGGGCCATACAATCTAAGGTCCCTAACTCACATTCATACATACACATACTAGGGTCAATTTAGACAGGATCCAATTACCCTACCAGCATGTCTTTGGAGTGTGGGAGGAAACCAGAGTACCCAGAGGACACCCACGCAGGCACAGGGAGAACATGCAAACTCCAGGCAGGTGGTGCCGTGGTTGGGATTCGAACCAACGACCCTAGTACTGCCAGGCGGAAGTGCTAACCATTTAGCCACGGTGCTGCCCTAAGTTAAAAAGTATTAACGCTCCGCAAACGCCTCGCAACCGCGTCGCAAACGCCTGTTAGGCATTTGAGGAGGGGCACCATAGACTTGAATGGGAGGCTTCAACTCCTCCTGACTCAACAAGAGGCGTCAGTTTTGCCACGACGCGATGCTAACACTTCAGTGTGAACAGCACTGTGTGCTGCCATGTGCAGAATTTTCATAGATGTTTGAGAAGCGTTAAAAACGCTTCTCAAACGCCTGTCTGACGCCTGCTGACAAAGCTAGTGTGAACTGAACCTTAGTGTTAGGCTGGAATTCCAGTTTAAATCCTTAGTTGCATCTCATTTTGCTGATTTTGCTTTGCTTCCACATCCTGTCTACATGCATGCACTCCAGAAGCATGGCATTTTTCAGAGAGGGTTTCTCAGTGGAGACAATAGTGGATCATGCCTGGGTAGTGCATGCTAAAGTAACCATCACAATGGGGGTCATAATGCATAAACACAATTGTACAATTGTACCTTAATACAGAAAGTTCTTGAACCTTTATGGCATGATTATAGGGTATTATTTTAATGAAAGATGTGGATTGACTGTGAAATTACTTTTGAAAAGATAATATATTACAGTTTATAGAGTTGTGCACAAAAGTTTGCATACTATGGCAGACATTGTGGTATTTTGCATTGATATTGAAAATAGGACTGAATGTGTCTTATATTTAAAGTGTCACTAAACCCCGGACCCTGCATTCACTATATCTGCTCTCCCTCAGTACACACAACAAGGAAGTGCAATTATTTTAGTAAATCTAAACTGCCAAATACCTTTTCTCATCAGCAGTTAGAGCAGTCTTGTGACTTCAGCAAAGCACTGGTTAAAGCTTGTAGGAGGAGTTTTCTTTCTGCTCTAGGAGAATGTGAAACCTCTGACTCTCTGTCTGGACAGTGCTGATTGGCCCTGTGCTGATCACATGCACTCCCCCAAAAAAAAAAAAAAAAAAAAAACCTCTCTAGCAATACACACCAAACTGAGCATGTACATGTGACTACGGATTCAATCTATATCAGGTGGTCATTTCATCAAGAGATAGGGCAGAGAAGAAAGGATCAAACATCCTTTTTACACAATGCAGAGGATTAACCCCTTAGGTTCCACAGTGAGTATAACAAGCATGCATACTGCATATACAGACGGATTTTACTGTTGTGGGTTTAGTAACACTTTTAATATACTGATCATATGAATCCATTTATTATCACAGGGTTGTTTGGCTCCTTTTTAAATCATAATGATAACAGAAATCACCCAAATGGCCCTGATCAAAAGTTTACATACCCTGGAATGTTTGGCCACACAAGGTGACACGCATGGGTTAAAATGGCAATTAAAGGTTAATTTCCCTCATCTGTGGCTTTTTAAATTGCTTTAGAGGCTCCACAAAACAAAAAAAAAAATGAATGCATATTTTTTTACCTGCAAAATAATGTGCATTTATAATTTTTTGTTATCCTTTAAGTGAATACAAAGGGCATTTCGATTTCTATTTATTTTTTTCTTTTTTGTAATGCCTGTGATCATTTACAGGGGGGGAAACTCATCAGGTCCACCTCACTGTTGATTGACAATACATGGCAGTGGGCGGATCCATGGCCTTTATTCAGTGGCTTCCAAATCCACCCACTGTTATTCACTGTCAATTAAAAGTAAGGTGGACCTGATGGGGAACTAGTCTTTCAGTTGGTTGGTTGGGAATTGGCGTTTCACTGAGTAGATTTTCTTTCTTTCTTTCCTTATAAGGTAACATTTGCACTGGGGACACAGACAGAAAAAAATAAACTGGTACAAGTTCTAGCTTTACTCTACTCTACTAACAATGTGTTGGTTTTTTGGGGTTTTTTTTTCTATCCTTGCCTTGATTCTTCCTCATGTTGCCACTGGGACAGAAAGTCAGAGAAAACCTCACTAATGGGGCCAGAGCAAAATTCTAACCCTTCCTAGCTCTATCCAAAATTAAAAAGGAATTAATTTGGCAGAAAATACACTTTATTTTAATTTAAATTTTATGTAACCCATGTCTGCCAGATTCTGCAACCTTTGATGTGTCCCTTTGGGTGGTGCTGCACATATCGTTCCATGAGAGACAGAAATTAAACAGCTCCATTTCTTTGCTCCTCTTGTTCATAAATCAGCCGTCTGCATAAAACTTTTGGTCTCTAAAGCAAAGTTGGTAATTTGACTGCATCTTATATACAGTATAAGGAACACTTATTTTTCAGGTTTTTCATCTTGGAATCACTTTAGAAAGAGTGTATGTGTTAATATTTATCCTCTATGTCAAGTTCTTTAATTTGAAGCCAACTAAATGTTGTTGTTGGATGAAAATCTCTTACATATTAAATGGGAATTCTGAAGCATATAGAATGACTCTATAAATCCTGTAAGGGTTACAGGCGTTTAAAGTATTGCAACATTAGGAGCAGACTTCTTTGTTAAAAATAGTCTTTATTTTTTAATATTCGCTTATGGCAACAAAAGGTCTTCCCAGACATTCTGAACAACTGGGAAAACCTTGTATTGGCATGTTTCCCCCCACTTTAATTAGAACCACATTACAGTGGATATTGCTAGTATATAAAACACATGCTTTGTTTTTATGAATAAACTATTAGGCTTGCTTCAAGACTTTATTATTATTAATATATAGGATTTATATAGCGCCAACAGTTTGCTCAGCACTTTACAATATAATGGGTGACAATACAGCAACAATACAGTTCAATACAAGAGGGTTAGGAGGGCCCTGCTCCTTGGAGCTTACAATCTAAGAGGGATTAGAAAGTAAATATGGAATGCAGAGAAGGGCTTGGTGCTGCTGCATAGGTGCCCTGAACCCAAGACTTTAGGCACCAGACGTGTGTTAAAGAACCTTTATTGACCTAAAGTGCACCTGCCCCAGGTCTACTGAAGACAATATTTGTGGTAAGTATATTTTCAAGAAGCGGTAAAATAGCTTTAAAACAAACCATCACAAGCCTAATCTTTCTAGCCTCTTTAATGCAAAGTTATTCTTCTGAAAGATCACAACAAAGAGACTAGAGTCCGGTTTCTGTGAGTTTTTAACAGCTTAGAAACACCTCAATATATAAAAATGTATAGTATGTACATCAAATCAGTATGTAAAATCAAATGTGAATAATAGTTAAAAGTCCAAAATAAATAAAGCTCAAAAGAAAATCTACTGTGAAACTTAATATCCTGACAGCCTTCACCAGCTCCAGGCTCCAACCACCACCAAACAAATCTGCTTACCAGAGGATTAGACTTCATCACACAAAAGGTCCCACATCATTTTATACTGATCACAGAAGGATGGATGGTTCTCTCTTTTGTGCAGGTTGAGGGTAACCACATACACTATATTGCCAAAAATATTGGGCAGCCTGCCTTTACACGCACATGAACTTTAGTGGCATCCCAGTCTTAGTCCGTAGGGTTCAATATTGAGTTGGCCCACCCTTTGCACCTATAACAGCTTGAACTCTTCTGGGAAGGCTGTCCACAAGGTTTAGGAGGGTGTCTATGGGAAGGTTTGACCATTCTTCCAGAAGTGCATTTGTGAAGACAGGCACTGATGTCGGATGAGAAGGTCTGGCTCGCAGTCTGCGCTCGAATTCATCCGAAAGGTGTTCTATCAGTTTGAGGGCAGGCCAGTCATGTTCCTCCACCCCAAACTCATTCATCCATGTCTTTATGAACCTTGCTTTGTGCACTGGTGCGCAGTCATGTTGGAACAAGAAGGGCCCATCCCTAAACTGTTTCCACAAAGTTGAGAGCATTAAATAGTCCAAAATGTCTTGGTATGCTGACACCTTAAGAGTTCCCTTCAGTGAAACTAAGGGGCCAAGCCCAACTCCTGAAAAACAACCCCACACCATAATCCCCCCTCCACCAAACTTTACACTTGGCACAATGCAGTCAGGCAAGTACTGTTCTCCAAGCAACCACCAAACCCAGACATGTCCATCAGATTGCCAGACAGAGAGGCATAATTGGTCACTCCAGAGAACCTCCACTTCTCTAGAGTCCAGTGGCAGCGTGCTTTACACCACTGCATTTGATGCTTTGCACTGCACTTGGTGATGTAAGGATTGGATGCAGCTGCTCAGCCATGGAAACCCATTCCATAAAGCTCTCTGTGCACTAATGTTGCACCAATCTGAAGGCCACATGAAGTTTGGAGGTCTTTAGCTATTGACTCTGCAGACAGTTGGCAACTTCTGTGCACTGTGCACTTCAGCATGCGCTGACCCCGCTCTGTCGTTTTACGTGGCCTACCACTTCATGGCTGAGTTGCTGTTGTTTCCAGTTGCTTCCACTTTGTTATAATACCAATAACAGCTGACTGTGGAATATTTAGTAGCAAGGAAACTTCACAGATGGACTTATTGCACAGGTGGCAACCTATCACGGTACCATGACTGAAATCACTGAGCCTCCCATTCTTTCACAAATGTTTGTAGAAGCAGTCTGCATTCCTAGGTGCCTGATTCTATACACTTGTGGCCATGGAGTTGATTGGAACACCCGAGTCCAATGATTTGTAGGGGTGTCTCAATACTTTTGGCAATATAGTATATATTGTGACCAAGTCTAATGTGCAGAGAAAAAAAACTGAAAAAACTACATAGTGTAGCAATTCCTGAATGATTTATTTAAAAACAAGGGCTGTCATTACTGCCCTTACGCGTTTCGTCCTACAGAATGTCTTCTGAGGAATGTCAGAGTCTTGCTAGTTGATTACATTAGAGAATACACTCCTTTAAGTATTATAACAGTAAAACCTTAGGTCTCAGGGACAGCTGTTTGTTCTGTTATTAGTCTTCTCTCACTTATCCCCTGCTCCATCTTAGTGCTAATAACAAATACTCATAAATCTGTTAAGTAACAAAAGTTATTTTAAAGCTACTGTGCCAGTGGATTAGAAAAATACTAAAAGCAAAACCCTGTGAAAAAAACACTTCATACTTACCAGCCTATAAACTGGTTTGCAGACAATTCACCATGTAGTAGAGATTCTGGCACCCATCCTCTTCTATTCCTTGGGGTTATTGAATAGGTGCTCCTCCCACTGGTCGGTGTTGTTACTCCTGCTGACCCCTAATCACTGTAGTACACACTGGGACATTGGAAGCTACATCAGCAAGTGGGAAACATTCCCACACACTGGGAAGTGCTGCATAGGACCGGTGCCAGGAGCTCTTCTACAGACAAAACTTTCAATAAACAGGTTGTATGACAGGTAATTATAATGTTGTGTTCTTTAAGGGGGAGCTTTGTCCACTTTTAACCCCATACCAGGGTTACTTTGAAGCAAATGAAAAAAATGTTAAAGTGATACTAAAACTAGAAATGTTTTTACCTTAATACATTCCTTGCATTAAGGTAAACAACGTTTTCTATTTCTCCGCCCCCCCCCACACACACACACACACCTTCCCTGTATGTAGGGGAAGAGAGGGGAAAATTGATCCAACACTGTTCACGGCTGCATCTATTCTCCCCTCTCTTCCTCTTCACACACTCGAGCTGCAGCAGGGGCCATTGGCGCCTGCTGCTGTGAATGAAATGCATTGAGGAGGAAGTGGGGGGTGTCTCTAAGTTGCGTTGTGTAAGTCTATGGAGCACAGCTCCATAGACACACACAGCTCGGGAGCACGCAGCTTGCTATGGGGACACATGAAGAAGAGGAGGTGTCAAGATCGCAGGCAGGAGACCAGAGAATAGGAGGATTGGGGCAGCTCTGTGCAATACCATTGCACAGAGCAGGTGAGTATAAAATGTTTGTTATGTTAATGTTTTTTAAAGATTACTTTTGTGACACTTTAGGGCTTTATTTGACAGTTTTACTCCTCACAATCTTCTGGAACTCCTCTGCCCTCTTTAGAATTTTTGAGGAGCTCCTGTCAGAAGCCATCGAAACAGAAATTTGCTCAGTGAGTGGCCCTGTCAGCTGCCTCCTGCCTGACATCTCTTGACTGAAAAATCAAAGGAGCTTTGCAGAAGATTGTTGGCCAGACAACAGCAGTATCCAATCAGATGCAGCCACTGTGCAAGCAATTTGACAGCCGTCAGGGTCATAGTGGGAGATTTCTCCATATTATCTATTAGCTTTGATGGAGGAATTGGTTATTTTTTTTCAGACCTGAAAGCTGATCCTGAAAAATCTATACGTGTACGGCCAACTTTATAAAGCATACTCTCTGCTCTTTATACACCAGGGGTAAGTTCCATTATTAGGGGTAGATCATTTGGACCTCACTGATGCCTGGCATCAGACAAGCCCCCATGTAATTTGAAGCATCACACTTTGCTTGTTTTCCTCCAGTCTCTGCTTCCAATACTCTAGAACAGCCTTTCTCAACCATTTCAACACAGAGGAACCCTTAAAATTACTTTTTGGTCTTGGGGAACCCCTGCTAAGAATAACTGTATCTACAGCTCATGATATATTCGTGTGATGGTCAGTGGGAAGAATTTTCTTTACACTTGTGGTCATTGAGAAGAATTACCCCCTTATAGATAGCTAAAAATATCAATGATGACAGTGGGAACTTATCTGAGAGGCGGATATTGCTCATTGCTCAAGGAACCCCTAGCAACTTCTGGAGGAACCCTGGTTGAGAAACCGTGCTAGAGACAGTCTCCAGCCTTCTTCCAGCTGACTTCTATTGTAATCTATAGGTGTGCTTCTTTTATTGTGTATGTTTATCTTATAATAATTGCAGCAAAGGGCAATTATACACAATTAATTACAAACAAACTAATGAACATTCACAGCAACTTACAATAAAGGACATAAATAAATAAAAAAATACGTTGAACAGATTGATCCCAGCAATGCACAGTCAGTCATGAACAACGTCTTGCTGTGATACAAACACACATATTAAAAAATTGCACTATAAGCTTAAAACGTGAAAGGAAACTCAACTCAAAATTGAAAACACAGTTTTCAATAGATCCCTCTATGATACAAAGATGGATGTTAAATATGAGGTGTGTAAAAAAAAAATGGATTTTATTGTCTCTTTTGAGCATTTATCTTTCCTCCTACTGTTATACTCTGGGAAACAAAGTGCAGATACAGAAAAGTTGCCTTGTGTCTGCAAAAAAGATAATTGTCACAGTCATTGGTAAGAGTAGCTTAGTGCTGGATGGGCTGTAGTGCTACATTTATGGTGTCTTCAGAGGTGTTGCCATAGCTGGCATAGAATGCTGCAGCAAAAAGAACCAGATATATCCTCCTGATATTTAAAATGTAGCAACTTACAGTAACCATTTAGATTTCAGTTTCCTCTAGTTATAGCATTGATTAATGATTTCTGATTTGTTGCTATAGGTTACTATGCATTGTAGGTCATCACTGTTCTCTGCACTGTGAGCTATGCATCATTTGTACATTAGATGGCTGAAGCTTCAGATGAATGGCAGTATTCCAGCTGCTAAATAAGTCAAAAATAAAAATGTGTGATTATATTACCAGTAAGTATGGCACTGCTTATAGAGGAGAATAGCTGGAGAGTGGCCAGATATTGACAATGTTGGCCAATTGCAACTAGATAAATTTCTTTTTCCCATAAGAATGAACATCTTGGGTGTCTGTTGGTACCATCAGATATAACTGTTGTCCACTAATCATTTTAAAGTGATACTAAACGCTATTTTTTAAAAATAATTTTTATTGGAAATGTTCAACAAATAGAAAGGACACAGTCAAAAGTAAGGCAGTCAATCAAAAAATAAATAAGAATAAACAGTATAGAAAAAGTACTATTACAAGTCTTGGTTTCAGTCCCATAACATACAATAAATACAGCATTTTAACCAAGAAGTTGCAAATACCTCAATATGAATTAACTACATTTTTATATATATATTGGAAGCATGGATGAGTAATTAACACTTCTCTATATTTGGGGACAAGAGAGAAAAACATAGGAAGGCTATTTTTTTAACAAAAAAGAGGTTATACTTACCTGTTCTGTTCAATGATATTGATTGCTTACCTCCAGAAAGATTACTTACCTCCTCTTCTGGCATTCCCCGCTGGCGCGGTTGGTTCCTCTCTCTTTCAAGTGCCTTCTGTAGAAAACTGGGCGCTAAGGAGTCACCCATACATGAACAAACCTTTTGGGACCCAAGCCAGGCTGTTTGTGTCCATAGACGCACACAGCACAGAGCACTGGTAATCTATGCCCCTGCTCCCTCCTCACAGGAGTTTCACTGGCGGCAGCAGAAGCCTATGGCAGCAGGAATTGAAGGGACCTGCTAGAGTAGTAAATACCAAATCTTACTTGTATATATTATTGATTCCAATTTTAATATGTTATTAAAAGGCAAGTCCATACACATATCTATGACTAGGTGTTTTAGGGTTGAAACCAAAGCATCTAGAACATGTGAAGAACATAAAATATCTCCTCCATACTGCTAGTATCCCTATCAGTTTCTGATCTAAAACACCAGTACAATACTGTATGCTGTGTGTGCGCCAGAAAAATATTAGTACAGTTATTCTTTAAATTACCTGCATCCCCCTCAAGTCCTATACTTACTTGTCCTCCAAGATTTTCAATGTATGGCCCACTGGAGCAGAAGTCTTCCAGCCAAGCTCTTTTTCCAGCCATTATATATATTTAAATTTGTTTATTTTATTTTGTTTTCTTTGTTATTGTATTTTTTATTTTGTATATTTTACTGTTATTTGTGTATTGTTGCTTTAAATGTTTACTTTTTTACTGTGTGTTTTCTCTCTGAAAAAATTTAAAATAATGAGGCTAATGAGCAGCCATTTTTGGAACAAAAGTAGTTTGCAGTAGAGTTGAAAAGAGCTTTTGTAACCCTCAGGAGCAGTTTAAATCTCTTGGACCATTGAAAACCACCAAGAACCACCTTGATTATGCCTTCTCCATTGATTTGAAACCATTGTGCCAAAACTATGAAACAATACCCAAATGTTCTAATTTTCCCTAAAAATTGTTAGGAATTTAAGACTCTGAAGTTCCCTCATCATTACTGACAAATCCCAAGTGCCCGGGAGCCATTGTTTGGGTGATGTCAAACCATTCCTATTGCAGTCAAAGGTAGCATAGGGATTTTGGATCCAAAGGAGACTCCACTAATTCCTTGGCAGAACCAGATACTAAATCTAACATCAGTTTGTCTGCCCCTGGACTAAAACATGCTTTAAAAGTACAAATTTCTACAAGGTCCCCCT